AAAACTAATTCTTGAATAAATAATTAGCATTAATTAATAAAATTAATAATTAATAACAAATACTTAACTAAATTTTGCGTACTATAAACTTAGAATTATAATCAATCGGAAAATAATCAAGGGATTTGGGGGGGTCCGGACCCCCCCTTGTGTGCGTCACTGATGTTAAATAATGATCAGTAATATAAAATATCGATGAAGAATAATTGTATTATTTTTAATATTTAAAGCGAAAAGACTTCAACATGTTTTAACCCAGGAGCAGGCGCGCACTCGATACGGTCGGGGTTATTGAGTCACCCCAATCCTTTTTTTTATAATTATTTTATTGTACACGATACAAATCATAATTCCAGTGAATAATTTAACTAAGAGAAAGTTTACTTACCTACTTTCAAGGACTTTTCAATTTTTCTTTGGTAATAAATAAACAGTTTTGCCAGAATTAACGATTTCGTAATCTGTGTGTCCCGCGCGACCACTTCCGGGTAAAAAGTATAATCATTATGATAATATGTAATGTTACTGCTAAAAAAATTGTGTGAAACGTTTTTCGTTATACTTTATACATGAGAATATTTATAAAAATATGTCTTGTCCAAGTAATCCTTCATGTGTGCTTGTTGTGTGTGTGTGTGCTCTCCGTGGTTTTCCAAATATCATAAAACTCTTTTGCATGAAAAAAAGCGCAACAGAGAACACATAAGAGAGGGGTCATAACTAACTGTACCAATAACTTAGAAGGTCAAACAGATTACAGCTATAATGTGCAGTATTTCAAAAATAATGACAGTGATGAATTTTTTATGTTCCTAAATTTTTTCGATTCTGGGTCTGGGATATGTTTTTTCTCTGAAAAAGTAGTATGTTAGGTTCAAAAAGAAAGCGTAGTAAAAAAAATCTCTCATCATGGGATTACAGCAAATCAAATAAAAGTTTTTTTTATTTGGTTATAGGATCAAAGATAGCTAATTAGGTATTGAAGAAGTTTTTATTTTTGATGACTTAACATAGCGCGCGAACCTATAAATTATATCAAAGTAGAAGTGCATTTTTTACTATGTCTGAAAGTATTTTGTTTTAATTCATTACAGTAAACTAATTATTTTTTAAATCTTTTATTTTCGATATGCTTGTGCCCCCTCGTAAGGTTATCGCGCCCCCCCAGGGGGTCGCGTCCCACAGTTTGAGAAACACTGCACTACTGAGTTTGAGTTTAAATATGTAGGCAATTTCATACTATGTAATATCATAAAAATTTTAAAAAGTATTCCGAAGACCTTGGTAATTTTAATATAATTTTAAAGAATTTTAAATGTAAAGTTTTACGACTTTTGAGCTCTTAATATGTATTAATTTTTATTTGCAATGTTTTTAATGTTTTTTTCTTTCGTTTTTTATCCTGCTCTCTTATGCTTTCTTCCCTTAATAAGTATTTTTACTTTTCTAGACTTATTATTAATTTCTCTCCAATTGTAAAATGCATGGTTCTTGTTGTTCCTTTTGTGTTATTAAATCTGTAGCAGAATATATTTACCCCTGTACCTCATTTCCTGCAAATAAATAAATATGTTTACTGTCTTTTTTTAATACATATTTAAACTAGACCTTAATTTACTAGCCTTACTTTTTCGTAATCAATATACATAATAAAATAGTTAAAACTAAATAAAAAGGCATTTTGTATTAATGAAATTCTTAGCCTAAATTTAGCTTTAATTTATCATAGTAAAATTGCTCAAATTTTTGGGCATTTGAACAATTTGCCGATAATTTTTAAAAAGTATATATATAGGTGTCAAATAATGTAATTTTGTGAAGAAAGCTAATATGTGTATGTTGAATGTAATTCTTAGTCAATCATATAAAAAAAGATAAATAAATCGTGTTTCATTAAGGTAATTGGCTGCAATGAATCTGTCATAAGAAATCGTAAATCCATAGTTTATTGTGTATGAAAAGAATTGAAACGAAATAAAAATAGATGCAGAAGTTATTATGATACAATTTTTCATTTTTCATAAAATTGATACTTTTCGGAAAAAGGAACTAGTTAAAAGATAGCGAAAATTTGAATAATTCGTACTCTCAAACATAATTGATAAACATTCAACTCTTTTTTTTATTTTTCAAATACCATCCCTTTCTTCTCCCCCCATTATTGCCTTGATTGATTGTTTGATTATCAGTTTCGCACTTTTATGTGTGGGAGATTTTTAGAGACCGATTGTAATGGCTTTGAAAATAAATTACGATGAAATCTTTCAAACAATTATTATTATTATTGATTTCAGCAATTTACATTTTTCATACCATCTGCACATTACCTTTAGTTTTGACTTACAAATATATGTCGAAAACATTTTTAAATTTGTTTTAGTTACATAATTTCTATTTCAACTACATAAAATTCATTTATATTTACTGAATAAATTCATTGAGAACCTTCAATAAATATATTGACTAAATTTTAATCAGGGATGTCCAACAAGCGGCCCGCGGGCCTTATTCAGCCCACCGACTCTTTTTAATTTATTTTTAAATATCAGGTTTTTAATTTTTTTTTTCATTTTGAAATTTACTTAAGGGTCTACAATGTATTTAAATGTTAACTGTTCTTGTTTTAAAATAAATCATTTTTGATAATAAAAACGTCCTTTAGATTAAAAGAGGTTTATATTTTATCAAGCAGTTATATTTTGTTTTACTATAGTAAGTTATTTTTTTAAATAAATTTAGAATTTCATAATGCATACACATCCTTTACTATGGATGGTACATGATTCTCTGTGTGTGTGTGCGACTTTCATTTCTCCTCCTCCACTTCTGTTTGGAGTGCCCAAAAGCAAGAGGCAGTCAGAGATGTTTTTTTAAAGTTTAAAAAAATTATTTAGGACGGTTAAGATAAAAGACCATGTATTCTTAATCGTTTGAGAATGACAGCACAATTAAATTTCAACAATGAGTAACGAAAGATCAATTCAAAAGGAACTCCCTAATTTTCCAGAAAATGGCAAATGTAATATTTTAAACATTATTTGATCATTATATTTTTACATTATATAAACATTATTATATTATCTATCGTCTGTATATATGAAAAATAATGAAAACAATAATAATAATTCATTTTGTTTTAAATTTTCACTCCAATAAATGCTTTTTTGTTTCCAAATCTGATATAAATGTACATATTTTATGTGCGGCCCTCGAGATTATAATGTTTTTCCAAAGTGACCCGCAAGGTCATTTGGGTTGGACCCCCTGAAATAGAATAATACGATTTTTCTATAAATTTTAATTCCATACTAATTTTGCAATAGGGAGAAATTGGCATCACAATCGAATTAATATAAAACAAAATATTGATCGATTAAAATTTCAAAATATTACTTTTACTTTTAAGGTTAAAATATTTTTATTTATTTATTTATTTTGTAAATCAATAGCATTTTTTATTATTTTAATAAAATAATTTAACTCAATAATGGAGAATTAGTAAATCAGTCTCATAGCCCAATTAAAATCTTAATTAATGATTCTTACGTTCATTTTAAATGAAAGAAATAAATTGAGAAATTTACTGTTGAGAAAAATGGGACAGACAACATTTACGTTAGACGTCATGTCGAGTTGAATTATTACCTCACTAATTTGAATTATCTTATGTCTTATTACTGATTTGTTTTAATGTGGAAAATCCTTCTTTCAATTTATCATTATATAGAATTTACAAAGAAATGTATTGAATTTAATTCCGTATAAATTCATTCATTTGAATGAAAATATTAAGCGTTTAAGAAATTAAATAAACAATAATTTATATTATATATATATATATATATATATATATATATTAAAAATATAATTTAGCATTTAATCAGTATAGTTATGTTTTCTTTATTTCTATAATTAATCGAATTGATTTGAACATTGAATAATTAAATTTTAAAAATGAAATCATTGTTCTTCATGATTTAAAATATCGTCTGTCATTTTTATCTTAGATATTCTCAATTACTTACTTAATTAATTGTGAAATACTAGTGTACTACAAATTATTAATTTTATTCGTTGTTCCGAAGGAAAGAAATATGATAAGGCTACATTTTTTTTATTTAGCTTAGATTTAAAATTATATATGAAAATAGTTATGTTAACATAAATAGTATAAAATTAACCCTTTGAAAGTTATAATTAAATGATTTAGTATTTGTCTTTTACTTTGTTTTTTTTAAAAGTGTTTTTTTTTCTGAAAGAGTAGTATGTTAGGTTAAAAAAAAGCGTAATAAAAAAATCTCTCATCCCGGGATGACAGCAAATCAAATAAAAGTTTTTTTATTTGGTTATAGAATTAAAGATAGCTAATTAGGTATTGAAGAAGTTTTTATTTTTGATGGTTTAATATGGCCTATAAATTATATCAGAGTAAAAGTGCATTTTTTATTATGTCTCTGAAAGTATTTTATTTTAATTCATTCCAGTAAACTAATTATTTAAATCTTTTATTTTCGATATGCTCGCGCCCCCCTCGTAAAGTCATCGCGCCCCCCCAGGGGGGCGCGCCCCACAGTTAGAGAAGCACTGCGTTAGAGAGAACGGATGAGGGTGAATTTTTTTGATGCTCACGCGCACAACGTCACGAATGTGACGCAAAACCGTCACGGATGTGACGCAAACCATCACGGATGCGAAAATGAAAATGCTTTGTCTAGAAATATACAGAAAGGGACAGATCACACATTGCCGTCTTCGAAATTCTCAGGAAAATATTTTTCTTCACTTCCTTGAATAAGGGGACACCCGGGTTTAAGCCGGAGACCTCTCAATATGCAGTCGAATACCTTACCACTGAGCTATACACCCGCGTCAGCAAATCTTTCCTTTGCGTCCCGTAGGTACGAATACGAAAATGCTTTTTCTATAAATATACAGAATGGGACAGATCATTGCCGTCATGAGAATTCTCAAAAAAATATTTCTCTTCACTTCCCTGAAGAAGGGGACACACGGGTTTGAACCAGATTCCTCTCAATCTGCAATCGAGAGCTCTACCACTGAGCTATACCCTCCTTGTCTGCGAAACTTTGCTTTGCGTTGATTTGTTACGACCCTACTAGTAAGGACTGCGTTTCTACTAGTACATTTGTGTGAACACTTTTTGTTGTTAAACCAAACATTCTTACAGGAAATTTAAAAAATTAGTATAAAATTATCTTTAAATTGGTTTCATGTACATAAAACATTAGAGTAAATATTAATTTACCTATTTAAATAACAATTGCAAGTATATGATTATAGATATAGTTACTACGAACGCATTGCAATTAACATAAACACATTTAATACATTGTGGTATATTATAAGAGCATTTGTATTTGTATTTTTTTTATTTTTGAAGTTATCCTTCTTATTGGGCGTTAGGGAAGAAGGATGAGGGTAAATTTTTACGATGCAGGCGCACACCGTCACGAATGCGTGCGCATACCTTCAAAACACAGATGCGAACGCATACACCGTTGTGTAATGTTTTAACACATGCCACCTTTTTGATGCTATGGGACTGATACTTAGGGGATCATAATAACTAGTGTTACAAACAATATCTGTTGGGACGCATTCCTCCCTCTACAGCTTTTTCACCAATATCTCGGCACCGAAGCCTCACAGTCCATTAGGCGCTGGCTCATTTGATCCCTTTCTATCTGCTCTTCCAGTTATTATAATTTCATGCTCATAGGTATATTACTTCCATAGTTTTTAATTGTCTTAAAGTTTTTAAATTTGTTTAAATTCACAATATCTCTTCGCTCCTGTTCGAGTCTTGGACTTGTGTGAGATTTGAACCGACTGTTCCACTCGTCTCCAGACCCATCCAGTCATCTGTTTCATTCCCATTGTGTAGGCATGGAGAGGGCTTAAGCACTAAAATATCATGCTCCCATGTTAATCCTATGAGGACTGGAAAAAATGTCACCTACCCCCTAAAGAATTAAGCTAGGAACTTGTTTTTTGGAGGACCGCCATATTTTCGTATGAGCGCGAGCTTTACGTTGAATTGGCCCCCTCCTCCTACATGGCTACCCTAGAAATAACTCGAATCCTATGCCACCTTGTTCGACCGCACCGGCTGGATTTGATTGTTTTTCCTATGAACATACTAGATATATTTTTTCAGGATCATAGTCCTATTTTTTCCCTATATTTAACATTTTAAAATTATTTTAAACTTATAATATTTTTAAATCTCGTATAGCTCCGAGGATTTTTGAGATTCGTTAATGAATCTCGGACCATAGGTTCTCCTCGTTGAGCTGTTTCATCTGTTATAATTCGTGTGTAGATAGTGGGCTTAGGGAGGCCTTATTGCTAAAATTAGAGTCCACATGTTTTCCTATGGGGTTCGATCTTCTGATGACGTAACCATATTACAGAGATAGAAGGATGAAACTTTGGGATTACCTACTACTCTGTGTATCGTTGGGATGTACGTAATCATTTACGTCACAATTGTTCCCCTACGGTGGAGTTAATTTCGTTTTCCTTTCCCCAGCTAGCGCCACCCCATTTGCAACTACAGACTCCGGACCGGTTCTAATGGATTTCTCTTGTATTTGCTCACAACCAGGTTCAGTTTCGAGTTGCTGGGTGGCCTGCTTCTATTTTATTTAATTGTTTTAAATGTTTAAATTATTTTAAGGGGTATCGGAACGCCCTATACTGATAATGTTAAAAAGCCCTTTTTCAATGTTCCTTTTCTAAGAATCTGTTGTAAATACAACCCCAAAATTTTTTTTACAAGTTAAACATAGATTTAGTATTATACTGAAAAATGAGCTTTTTAAAATTTTTATTAGTTTTTTTGAAAAAAAAATTTTATTTGATTTATTTCGAGAAAACAAAATTTTTTGACAAAAAAACGTGTATATATATATATATATATATATATATATATATATATATATATATATATACAAAATTTTGCTAAAAGCTCATTCCAGTAATTACTAGAACATACAAAGAATGTGTCATATAAATTTTGTGGACATAAGTTATATACTTTCCGAGAAAAGGTACATCGAACCTTCAAAAAGGACATTTTGAGAAACACATTTTTATAAAAAAAAAAACTCACCTTATCAAAAACATTCCAGCTCCATATTCCAAATTTTCAGCATTTTTTGAAAATTCATTAATTCTTTTAAGTCTTTTTATCTTTCTGACCTCCTTAGTTTTTTGCAAATTGGCATATCTTGCCCTTGTAATCCTCTCTTTGTCGAGGCGTTCCATGCAGCATGTCGCATAATATCCAGGCTCTATGTTTATTTTTTTCAAAATATCCAACTTAGTTGCATTCTCTTTATTAAAGGATGCAATAACATCATACGTACCAAAGGAAAGTGTTTTTAAGTGCACGAATGTCTTTTTGGGAACACGAGACCAAATAACATTATCAATGCTTTAATTTGGATTCTGCGTGTTTCCAAGTAAGCATTTTTTCAATAGCTCTGGATCAGAAAGATCCCTAAAAAAGGCCTAATGGCTTCCACAACAGCAACTGGAAGTTTATGTTTATGGTGGTAAACTTTATTTTCCAATTGTGTCTTCTTATAACGGCACCACGTGTCAGGACCTGATGGACAAAATCCATGTTGTGGATTTTCATCCGTTGATATTTTGTGAAGAAATATTGCCCATATACCTTGTCGCATATCCTTCACACTTGACAAATTCCTTCGAATGGCAAGACCATAATATGTTTGTAATTGGTCAATAGATGCTTCCGTTAATCTATTTTTTCCACATAATGCCTTGCCATCTGACAATTTTTGGCCTCTCATCTTTGCTTTGAAACGTCGGAGGCGAGATCCCATCCGTTTCATAACATGGCCTATACACTCAAGTTTTGTGATCGTACAATTATCACCGTATAATTTATTCTTCACAATGTTATCGAAAGCTTTGAAGTCACCATCTCCTAAATATTTCGTGTAACGCACATCATAGCGTTGAACAGAGCGCTGAAATATCGATAGAACTCCATCGACTTCCATTCGTCCACTATACCCGTTGCAGTTCTTCTTGCAGACCGGTCCATGTTTCTTTTTATCTTTGCAAACACAATGTTTAGATAATATCTCAGTGTCAATTACCTTTCCTGTGTCCACACTCGTAACTGACACAACACCATTCATGGAGGAATATCCTCTCTTTTGCCATGTTCCATCAACCGCCACAAGAATGCCTCTAATATTTTGGTTTTCTTCTACAGCTTCTTCTATGGCATCTTTCATCGTTGCATCACACACATCCTTAGTTGCACCTAACAGTATGTTATTGTATTTCGAGAACTTTGTCGGTGGGGGTGGTAAGTTCATGATTCCACAAAACATTCGTGCAGCTTCTGCACCTCTCCCTATGCATCTCATTGCATAAACAAGCCTGGTGTTTACTTCGTAGGTGCTGCGTTTCTCAATGTCAGCTTTGCACTTCTTGGAGGAACAAAACTTGTAGCTATAACTACAAAAATCACAGATTATATGAAGTTCAACAGCTCCACCAGAACAATTTTCTTCATAGGAAAGGTTAAGTCATGTTGCTCCACTCTGTAAACATTTAACAGCTTCAGAAAACACACCAGCTAAAACATTCAAATCCACAATGGCATTTTTAAATCCACTATTAAACTCACTTTTGTATGAGTTATTTAAATTGCTAAGTTTTTTTTTCTGAAGCAGAAATATTATTGTTAGAAGCAGAAGACTGCTGTGGTACAGAATCACTTCTTTCGGAATTACTTATTCTACCTTGATTAAAATTACCTCGCTTTTTTTAAAAAACTTTGCCGCTAGATCTAGGCATTTTAAATGTAACAAATTAATACTAAAATCAAAATAATAAAGTTGTAAAGAGCTAAGCAGGTCTAATTACTATAAACACAACTTGAGCAAAACAAACAGCATTTGAACGAACGATTTTTTTCAAAAATACAAATGTAAACAACGTATAATTAGTTGTATCTCTGAAGCCATTCTTAGGGTGAAAAATAACCGAGGCTTGGCAGCTAGCATCACGAAAGAAATTTTAAAAATGACGTCAAACTTCTAGCTGGCCATAGATGAAGTGCAATGTTTACCTTTTTTTGCCTATTTAAATCGGTGACGTGCGTTTAGATGATTTTTTAAAAACAAATTTTCAGCACTTCTCTTATTGTGCTAGAGATTAAAATGATGTATTTTTGGAAAGGTAATGAGTTAAAGAATTTTAAAATGCAATAATCTGAAATTGACAAAAAAATGTTTTTAGGTTTTCCAACAGCTCTTAAAAGGACCACATAACTCGGGGGCTCTTCAGGCGGATGTCTTAATTTTCTCAAGAACGATTCATCCCACTGAGACATTCAATATGAATTCTCAGATGTCACATTCGGTTCACTTTCATCTCCAGATACAGTTTGATACCCCCATGTTATTGGTCCTATTGTTTCTGTGCGGGGGTGTTTAAATTTATTTAAATCGTGATTATCTCAGGTTTAGCTCGTCCAAATGACTGAAGGTTAGTATCGTTCAATATCGCTCGTGACCGCCTTTCGTCCTTGACCCAGCTTGCCCTGCTAGAGCTATAGAAAGATTTTAATCTTGTTACGCCAAAGAAGTATAACTTCTTACGCGCGTACATAAGTACACATACACACTTTTTTTTAAAGAAAAAATAATAATGGTTTTGAGAGCCCTTAGGGTGAGAAATATTAATTAATAAATAAAAGTTTAAGCAAATGTTTACATATAGAGGAAATAATAAATAAGATGGGTTTTGTAAGGATTGTCAGGATTGTGCAAAGTGAGTACCCAAAAGACTACATCTTTCACTGTCAAAATACCATTGTTTCCTAATTTGTACCTTTTTTGAGAATTAAGAGCTCTCAGGGGTCTTACAAATGTTTCGAGAGCACAAAATATAAACAATTTTCAACTAGAAATAATTCTTTGAGGCTAAAATGAAATATTTTGATTCTTTTACAAATTTTTATAAAGGAATAAAGTTTAAAAAAAGCATAAAATGTCTAAAATATA